AACCAGTTGTAAACCAGGTCTAAACTGGGCCTAATTCGGGACTAAACTACAACCTAAACCAGGTCGAAACTAGGCCCAAACTGAGGCTAAACCAGGTCTTCACCAAAACTAAATGAGGTCTAAGCCAGAGAAGCCAGAGCTAAACCAGGGCCTAAACCAGGTTCAAACCAAGACCAAACTAGGGCTAAACTGTGACCTTCACCAGGGCCAAAACCAGAACTTAATCAGACCTAAACCAGGTCTGAACCAGGACTAAACCAGAGCTAAACAGGGTCCAAACCAGGTTAATCCAAATCAAATTAAAATCGCAGTTTAAATCGACACAAAATACCATCATTTCAGAATCTTCGGTCTTATCGTGTCTAAAATTTGCAAATCTTGTAGTTTAGATCTGCGCAATCCTGCTCGAAAATGTGAATCTTTTATTAATTTCAGTATAATTTTAGTCATTTCCTCTGGACGTGACCTCTGAACGGAAAAAAAAAAAAGAAAAGCAATCGCAATTCGAGATTTTTCCCCGTTTTCCCCGTAGCCCCGCCCACCCCCCGTCCTCTCGAAACTTTCGGCGTTTGCAAAATCGCACGTTTGTAGTTTGTAGTAAAAGTGATCAGATAAGAGCCGCTCCCTTTGTTCCTGTCTGCCTGATCCGCTGCAGTGAATAACTCAAAACCACTTCCCGTTCCTGGTCCTGACCTCGTCCAATCAGGCGGCTCGTTTGGGCAGTTCTTAGAAACACGGTGCTTTCGACGGTTTCCTGTTCAACGCCAAACGGCAGCTTCACCAACATGAATTCGTGCGGGTTTAAATGGAAGTAGAGTGAATTACGGCTGAGTTTGTTTAAAAGTGAGAAGTACAGGGGAGGTTTTCGTGTTTTTCTAATTGTGTTTTGGTTTGGTTTGATCGTGACTGTGGTTAATTTTGTTGTTGTGGGTTGTGGGGAAAACATACAATAAAAAACAGGAAGTATGAGTAAGTTCTAAAACAGAAAGAGTCATCAAATATCACATCCAGATTTAAGGGAGGATTGACGCACAAAGAAGGACGTTTAAACCTTTTAAAATCAGAATTAGACGATCTGAATTAAACAGGTCGGAGTTTAAATGTTCTCCGTCGAGTTTATGTGGAAATAATAATTCTGAATTGAGGTTTACATGGAAAAACAGGACTAAACCAGGTCTAAACCAGGACTGAACCAGGACTGAACCAGGGAACCCAAACTGAACCAGGACTGAACCAGGACTGAACCAGGTCTAAAACAGGACTGAACCAGGACTGACTGAACCAGGACTGAACCAGGACTGAACAGGACTCAGGACTAGGACTGAACCAGGACTGAACCAGGACTGAACCAGGACTGAACCAGGACTGAACCAGGACTGAACCAGGTCTAAAACAGGACTGAACCAGGACTGAACCAGGACTGAACCAGGACTGAACCAGGAGGTCTTAAACAGGATTAAACCGGGTCTAAACCAGGACTGAACCAGGACTGAACCAGGTCTAAAACAGGACTGAACCAGGCCCGAACCAGGACTGAACCAGGACTGAACCAGGACTAAACCAGGACTGAACCAGGACTGAACCAGGACTGAACCAGGGCTGAACTAGGACTGAACCAGGACTGAACCAGGTCTAAAACAGGACCGAACCAGGACCAAACCAGGACTGAACCAGGACCAAACCAGGACTGAACCAGGACCAAACCAGGACCGAACCAGGACTGAACCAGGACCAAACCAGGACTGAACCAGGAACCTAACCAGGACTGAACCAGGACTGAACCAGAAGGTCTTAAACAGGACTAAATCGGGTCTAAACCAGGACTGAACCAGGACCGAACCAGGACTGAACCAGGACTGAACTAGGACCGAACCAGGTCCAAACCAGGAGGTCTAAAACATGACTAAACCAGGTCTAAACCAGGACCGAACCAGGGCTGAACCAGGACCGAACCGACCAGGACCGAACCAGGACTGAACAGGACGAGGACTGACCAGGACTGAACCAGGACGAGGACCTGAACCAGGACTGAACCAGGACGAGGACTGAACCAGGAGGTCTAAAACAGGACTGAACCTGGACCGAACCTGGACCGAACCAGGACCCGAACCAGGACCGAACCAGGACCGAACCAGGACTGAACCAGGACTGACGCGCCACACGGGGCGAAGTGCAGCTGTCGCCCGATCGCACTTTGCGGACACCCTGCTCCACGGGCTCGGGGTTCTCTCTCTCGCTCTCAAGTCCAAGATTAGTCCTGGTTTAGTCCTGGTTCAGGTTTTGTAGTCTGTGATTTATGTTCTGTAGGTGACTGTAAACGGTGTTAATGTTAATTTTGTTGTTGTGGAAAAAAAATAAACTAAAATACAGGAAGTATCAGTGAGTTTTAAAACAGAAAGAGTCATCAAATATCTCATCCAGATTTAAGGGAGAATCGACGGCATTTTTCTAACCGTTTAAACCTTAATTTCACAGAATTATTTTTATTAGTTGGGTACGTTTTCATGATGTTTTTTAATTCAGAATTAATAGTTCTGAATGAAAATAATAATTCTGAATTGAGGTTTACATGGAAAACTCGTTAAATCGTCTTTATTTAATTCCGTGATTTCAGTGTCTGGGGGTGGGGAAGGTTCTGATTGGACAGAGACACGAACGTATTTACGTCGACCGGAAGAAAACACACACTTCAGCTGCTACCGGCTTTTCTGTCATCTCGGTTTGTCGTTACGCCGCGGACGCAAACACGATCCAAACTTTTTCCGCGGTCGTTCTGTCGGCCGACGAGGAGGGAAGAGGAAGACAAAGTGAGTGTGAGGCTGCTCTACCTCAGCCCACTCCCACATCCCGCTCACAAATCCAAAGAGACGTGGAGGAAAGTCCGAAGCCAGGACTGGTGGAGCCGGATCATCGGCATGAACTGAACGACCGGAATTATTTTTAAGAAGAATAAACGTTTACATGATCGAGGAATAAATTAATTCGGCTTTAAAATCGGAATAAACCACACACTTAGTTCGGAATTAAGTTTAATTTCATAAGGAATTAAGTGCTTACATGGTCTTTTTAAAACGGAATTCATTTTTATTCAGAATTAAATCATTTTTAATTGGAATTAAAGCTCTCATGTAATGAATCAAGGAGAAGGAAGCGAGGAAAGAGAAATGAGATGTGGCCCTGGAATTCCCAATGGTCTCCCATGAATGAAACTTTCCTGACCATCTTTAGAATTGCCACGTTTAATTGAGAGCTTTAATTCCACTTTAAAAATACCATGTGAACACTTAATTCCTAATGAAATTAAACTTAATTCTGAAGTAAGTGGGCGGTTTAAACCAAATTAATTTATTCCTCGATCGTGTAAACGTTTATTCTTCTTAAAAATTATGGTCAGGAAAGTTTCATTTCTGTCCTGTGAATGTAACTTTTTTAATATCGATATCTGCACAAATGAGTATCTAGTTTCGATATTATTTTTGTGTCCATACTGGAGGTCAAAACCCGATTTCAGAAGCTCAGCAGAACCGGGCCTGGTCAGTACTTGGATGAGAGACCACTGGGAATTCTAGGGCCACGTCTCATTTCTCTTTTCTCACTTCCTTCTGCTTGATTCATTACACGAGAGCTTTAATTCCGAATAAAAAAGATTTAATTCTGAATAAAAATGAATTCTGCTTTAAAAAGACCATGTAAACACTTAAAGGTTGTATGGAAGATTTTTTTGTTTTGTTTCAAATTTCAGTGAAAGTTTAAAATACCATTACAGAAAAACAGCAGCCTTGTAATTATGACGACTAAAAAAAAAGAATGAAAATCTATCAACTGTGGACGTGTTGAGGCCAAATATACATCAGCCAATAGACAACGAGACTACCTCTTTTTCTATTGGCTGTTAGGTTGTCAATCAAACTCCCTACGTTTCTAGTGTAAGTGACTCGTCGGCGCGCTGGGATTACATGGTTTACGCAGCGGTTCTTAGAGGCTTTTTCAAACTGTAGCTTCCTCACAGTTCGCACAAAGTTTGTCACGATGTCGGACGAGAATCCACGACCAGTTCTCCGCAAAAGAAAGTCCGTTTTTGAGGTCGCTGAAAGAAGAAGAGAAGGAGAAAAGGAGCGAAGACAAACTGAGGTGATTCTTGGAGATCTCTTCCAGCGATGGCGCGACTGAAGCTGACGAAGGGTCTAAAGACTGAAGACGTGTCGGTTGCTGAATTACTTCTAGACAGGAAACTTCAACTGTAATTCTGAACGCGCACTGGCTGTAAACAAACGTGATTTCTAGAGTAAAGAGGCGGGAGGAGGAGATGTTTCTACTGAGGCTGTGGAGGAGGAAGGTGGTGTCACACATGCGCAACATTTGAAAAAGGACTGTCGCTGTATTTCTTTTCCCTTAAAAAATCCTCTATACAACCTTTAAGTCCTAATGAAATTAAACAGAATTCTGAAGTAAGTGTGTGGTTTATTCCGATTTTAAAGCCGAATTGATTTATTCCTCGATCATGTAAAGGTTTATTCTTCTTAAAAATAATTCCAGTCGTTCAGCGCACGCTCGGCTCCACCAGTTCTGGCTTCGGACTTTCCTCCACGTCTCTTTGGATTTGTGAGCGGGATGTGGGAGTGGGCTGAGGTAGAGCAGCATCACACTCACTTTGTCTTCCTCTTCCCTTCTCCTCCTCAGCCGACAGACGTAAAGCGTGATGAGAGAATTCTCCAGCTGCTGCTTCGCAATTATCATCGGAAAAAGTTTGGATCGTGTTTGTGTCCGCGGCGTAACGACAAACCGAGATGACAGAAAAGCCGGTGGCAGCTGAAGTGTGTGTTTTCTTCCGGTTCGACGGAAATACGTTCGTGTCTCTGTCCAATCAGAACCTTCCCCACCCCCAGACAGATGATTTAACCTGAAATGTTTTTGTGTTTCATATTAAAAAATAGATAATAAATATTAAAAACGTTGAATTCAAGTATAAGTCTGACTGTTTCCTGCGTCTTGTCTCTCAGATCTGTAACTACCAGGGCCCAGCGCGAGTGGTGGTGCAGCTGGTCACAGTTACTCATCATCCTCAGCTTCACGCGCACAGCCTCGTGGGCAAACAGTGTGACAAGGGAATCTGCATCGCCGACCTGCAGCCCAAAGACTCTACTATCAGGTACTACAAAAGTACTACAAAAGTACTATTATATACTGTATAATACTACTGACCTGCAGCCCAAAGACTCTACTATCAGGTACTACAAAAGTACTACAAAAGTACTATTATATACTGTATAATACTACCGACCTGCAGCCCAAAGACTCTACTATCAGGTACTACAAAAGTACTACAAAAGTACTATTATATACTGTATAATACTACCGACCTGCAGCCCAAAGACTCTACTATCAGGTACTACAAAAGTACTACAAAAAGTACTATTATATACTGTATAATACTACTGACCTGCAGCCCAAAGACTCTACTATCAGGTACTACAAAAGTACTACAAAAAGTACTATTATATACTGTATAATACTACCTGACCTGCAGCCCAAAGACTCTACTATCAGGTACTACAAAAGTACTACAAAAGTACTATTATATACTGTATAATACTACTGACCTGCAGCCCAAAGACTCTACTATCAGGTACTACAAAAGTACTACAAAAGTACTATTATATACTGTATAATACTACTGACCTGCAGCCCAAAGACTCTACTATCAGATACTACAAAAGTACTACAAAAAGTACTATTATATACTGTATAATACTACTGACCTGCAGCCCAAAGACTCTACTATCAGGTACTACAAAAGTACTACAAAAGTACTATTATATACTGTATAATACTACTGACCTGCAGCCCAAAGACTCTACTATCAGGTACTACAAAAGTACTACAAAAGTACTATTATATACTGTATAATACTACTGACCTGCAGCCCAAAGACTCTACTATCAGGTACTACAAAAGTACTACAAAAGTACTATTATATACTGTATAATACTACTGACCTGCAGCCCAAAGACTCTACTATCAGGTACTACAAAAGTACTACAAAAGTACTATTATATACTGTATAATACTACTGACCTGCAGCCCAAAGACTCTACTATCAGGTACTACAAAAGTACTACAAAAGTACTATTATATACTGTATAATACTACTGACCTGCAGCCCAAAGACTCTACTATCAGGTACTACAAAAGTACTACTACAAAAAGTACTATTATATACTGTATAATACTACTGACCTGCAGCCCAAAGACTCTACTATCAGGTACTACAAAAGTACTACAAAAAGTACTATTATATACTGTATAATACTACTGACCTGCAGCCCAAAGACTCTACTATCAGGTACTACAAAAGTACTACAAAAGTACTATTATATACTGTATAATACTACTGACCTGCAGCCCAAAGACTCTACTATCAGGTACTACAAAAGTACTACAAAAGTACTATTATATACTGTATAATACTACTGACCTGCAGCCCAAAGACTCTACTATCAGGTACTACAAAAGTACTAAAAAGTACTATTATATACTGTATAATACTACTGACCTGCAGCCCAAAGACTCTTACTATCAGGTACTACAAAAGTACTACAAAAGTACTATTATATACTGTATAATACTACTGACCTGCAGCCCAAAGACTCTACTATCAGGTACTACAAAAGTACTACAAAAAGTACTATTATATACTGTATAATACTACTGACCTGCAGCCCAAAGACTCTACTATCAGGTACTACAAAAGTACTACAAAAGTACTATTATATACTGTATAATACTACTGACCTGCAGCCCAAAGACTCTACTATCAGGTACTACAAAAGTACTACAAAAAGTACTATTATATACTGTATAATACTACTGACCTGCAGCCCAAAGACTCTACTATCAGGTACTACAAAAGTACTACAAAAAGTACTATTATATACTGTATAATACTACTGACCTGCAGCCCAAAGACTCTACTATCAGGTACTACAAAAGTACTACAAAAAGTACTATTATATACTGTATAATACTACTGACCTGCAGCCCAAAGACTCTACTATCAGGTACTACAAAAGTACTACAATATACAGTATAATACTACTGACCTGCAGCCCAAAGACTCTACTATCAGGTACTACAAAAGTACTACAAAAAGTACTTATATATACTGTATAATACTACTGACCTGCATCCCAAAGACTCTGCTATCAGGTACTACAAAAGTACTACAAAAAGTACTATTATATATATATAATACTACTGACCTGCAGCCCAAAGACTCTACTATCAGGTACTACAAAAGTACTACAAAAAGTACTATTATATACTGTATAATACTACCGACCTGCAGCCCAAAGACTCTTCTGTCAGGTACTGCAAAAGTACTACCAAAAGTACTACTATATATACTGTTTATAATACTATTAACCTGCAGCTCTAATACTCGACTATCAGGTACTGCTAAAAGTACTACTATGTATATACTGTTTATAATACTTTTAACCTGTAGCCTAAAGATTCTGCTATCACTGCAAAAGTACTACCAAAAGTACTATCATATACTGTTCATAATACTACCAACCTGCAGCCTAAAGACTCCACCATCAGGTACGACAAGAGTACTACCAAAAGTACTACTACTATATGTTTCATTATACGACCAACCTGCAGTCTAAAGACTCATCCGTACCATCGTGTACTGCAAGAATACTACCAAAAGTACTACCGTATACTGTCTGCAAAAGCACTATCAAAAGTACTTATTTATTATTTATACTGTATACACATAATACTATTACTATGTAGACTGAAGACTTCACTATTGGGTACTGCAAGAGTACTACCAAAAATACTACCGAAAGTACCACTATATATAGTGTTTATAATACTTTTAACCTGTAACCTAAAGACTCTCCTATCAGGTACTGTAAAAGTACTACCAAAAGTTTACATACTATTCATAATACTATTAGTCTGTAGCCTAAAGACAAAAATACTACTTCATATACTGTTTATAATACTATATATATATGTGTATATATATATATATATATATATATATATATATATATATATATACACATATTTACTATCACTTACAGCAAAAGTACTACCAAAAGTACTACAACACATATGCTTTATTATACTACTGACCTTCTATAAGAATACCAAAAATACTACTACATGTACTGTTTGTAATACTACCGACCTGCAGCCCAAAGACTCCACTATCAGGTACTGCAAAAGTACGACCAAAAGTACTGTTCTTTATACTGTTCATACTATTAATCTGTAGTCTAAAGACTTCACTATTGGGTACTGCAAGAGTACTACCAAAAATACTACTGTTTATTACACTATTAACCTGCAGCTCTAATACTCTACTATCAGGTACTGTAAAAGTACTACCAAAAGTACTACTATACTTATAATACTAGCAACCGGCAGCCCAAAGACTCCACTATCAGGTACAAATTACTGCAAAAGTACTACTATATTTACTGTTTATGACACTGTTAACCTACTGCCTCAAGACAGTCAGGTACTACATGAGTTCTACCAAAAGTACTACCAAAAATACTACTATACTGTTTATAATACTATTGTTCTGCAGCCTGAAGACTCCACTATCAGGTACAAATTACTACAAAAGTACTACAGTCTGTACCTTTTACTAGGGCTGTCTTCCTTTAGTCGTGTAGTTCTTTAATTGGTTCAGTCGACTCTTCATGTTGTTCTGATTTACAGGACTACAGATATAAGTATTTATATGTTATATGTGTATTTTTTATAAGATATTTACACAAGAGCAGAAAGAAGAAAGCATGGAGTGAGATTTCTGAAGATTTGAAAGTGAATCATGAGTTTAATGTGCCTTTTCACATATAAGTACACACATGTTACTAGTATTTTTCTGTTTTCCTGTGCGGTTTGGGCGCAGTTTAATTTAAGATTAACATGACAAAGTGTCTTTTGTTTCATACACGTTTCTATAGAACAATATAAAAGTATCGCCCTGATTCATCCACAGCTTAAACCAGCTCCACGTTTACTGTTACAAAAAGGAACGTGTGTAGTTTAAAGCTCTAAAGTCTCACACAGAATCACTGATCCGTGTCTGTGATAAACCACGACCTGTGCAAACTTATTATTATTCACCTTTATTTGTTACATAATGCACATGTATAAACACACAGGTACTAGAGAGTTACTTTTAAGAACCAACCACAATTATAAAATGACATAATAGCCTTCTGTGCACTTGAGTATACAACATGGACGCTGTTAAACTAGAATAAACATTAATATTTAAACTCTAAACTCTCACCAGACGTTTAATGACTCATTTTAAATACCGTATTTTTCGCACTATAAGGCTGCGTTCAGACTGCAGCCTGAAGTGACCCAAGTCAGATTTTTTGGCTTCTATGTTCCTGTATCTGATCTTTTAATGACAGTACGCGCAGCTCCGCCTACATGAAGCGCTGCTGCATCTTCTGGTGTGAATTCGGGGTTAGTCACTCCGGAGTATAAGTCGCACTTTTTGGGGGAAGTTTATTTGATAAAATCTGAGACCAGGAACCGACATTTCCTGTGTCAAGTCAAGTTGTAGTAAAAACAATAGAAGAGAGACTGACTGGACAGACTGTTAACGTCACATATGAACAGTTCTTCAGATAAACTATAACATAAACAACAGAACAGAACAAGTTTAACAAACTCTCCATCTCACTCCAAATCACTAAATCCATTAAATTCTTCATCCTCGGTGTCACTTCTGAGCAACTCCACGACCTCCGGAGGTAAACAGAGCGCCGCTTCCTCTTCTGTGTCGCTGTCGTCAGACTCAGCATCAGTTCCAGTTAGAATTATTCCGGCCTTTCTGAATCCCGACAGGATGGTTTCGGTGTCACTGAAGTCCAGACTTTGTCCATCCATCCAGTGACTTCAGGAAAGTTTCATGGTGCATCCTCCCGGTGTCACAAGTTTCTCTCTCACTCCAAACTTTCTTTCTTTCTGCTGCTCGATTACCGTTTTCAGCTGCAGATTTCACGACTTGCAGTTTGTAATCTGTAAATCTGATTTTCTTTTTGGGGACATTTGTGTTCAGTTTTCTCAGTCGTCTTTATAAGTTTGTTTAAATGTTAAATTGTTCAGTGGTGCAGAAGTAATGGTGCGATCGACTGACATGATACAGACAGGACAGAGGCTCTTTCTGCAGGAGACATGCGCAGTAGAGCCAAGTGACAGTGGTACAGGAGGAACAGGAGCAGCAGATACTGACACACAAGACTAGAACCTCTCACCGCTTCACTGTGAAAACTTTAATATATAAGTCGCAGGAAACACCTGAACCATGAAAAAAAAATATTGTACCCAGTTTTAATCATCAAAATTGTGAATATGTGTCAGGTGTATTGCATAAACAAGTTTCCTTTCTCTAAACAAAGAACAAAATTGTGGAATTGTCCAAAAATAATTAGGTAAAAAAATACAATAAATACTGTTTTTGATAGATCGATACAGCGATGTATTTTATTATTTAATTTGATGATAGATATTTTGCACACCGTGTGAACCGTGAATTTCATTAGTTCATCGATATTTTTCAGGCACTTCCCATTGTTTTTTTTCAAATGCCAAAGTTTTAATTAAACCCGAGCGAACGCAGGAGTTTAACATCAGAGCTGCTCGAACTCACTCACACTTTTTCCACTGTAGTTTTCCAAACCTGGGCATCCTCCACGTGACCAAGAAGAACGTGGCCAAGACCCTGGAGGAGCGCATGGTGGAGGCCTTCAAGATGGGCTACAACTGTGGAGTCCAGATCCACCCAGACATCGACGCCCAGCAGGGGGAGGTCCGCACGCCCAGAGAACTCACGGGTAATTTGTGTAGTACAGTTCGAAATACCTTAAAATCACATTAGAGACAAATCAAAACCACGTAAACACTTTGACGTTTTTGTGCTTTCAGACCAGCAGCGCAGTCTGATCTCGTCCGTGGCCTGTCTCCAGTCCAAAGAGATGGATCTGAGCGTGGTCCGACTCATGTTCACCGCCTTCTTGCCCGACAGTGATGGAGGATTCTCTCGGAGGCTGGAGCCGGTGGTGTCTGAGCCCATCTACGACAGCAGTGAGTCCAAACGTCCCTTGAGATGTCGCGCAGTTTGGATTTCTATAGCAGTAGACAGATACAGTAGGGCAGACAGTAGACTGCATAAATTCTAGGGGTGTCAAATTATCGCGTTAATTGCGATTAATTAATTACAGTCATATTTAGAGCGTTATGTTTTTTAATCTCATTAATCTAATTTTTAATCTCTAACTTTACTGTTTCTGTACGCAAGTTGCCTTATTATAAAATCTGTTTTTATGTGTTGTGTGGACACAGTCCCGCACTGTGCAGTCCTGCTCCGCTCGCTCCCGCAAAGAATTGTAATTTTCATTCCCGTTCTCGCTGCATTTGCGATAAACCTGCACATGTCTGATCTCTGAAAACATCACGACACAGACACAGAACAGACTCACCTTCAGCATCAACATCCCTCTGTCACAGAAAGAACATCTATATTCCACTGAGTCGTGTCCTTGAAGTCCAACAGAAGCTGAACCGCATCAGCGCACAAGAGCTTTTTTTTCCCTTTTCTCCACTTAGTTTATGCAAATTAGCCATGCATGCATGCATTTTTTGTTTCGTTTCTGTAAAAAATGCATAAAACGCATTATAATGTCAAACGGGCTGATGTGGCTCTAGAGTGTTTATGTTTATATGTTGTGAAGTTGAGTTTATTTCTGCAGATTAGTAACAGTAATAATGATAATACTTATATAAAAATGTTAATGATAGTATGAAAATAATGTAATAATGAATCCAAATGAAAATACCTCAAGTTGAAGCTTTTCTCAGCAATTTTTAGGTGAGATTAAAAAAAAGATTAATTAGATTAATTAATTAATTACAGATCATAATTAATTAATCTCTCAATTGTTTTAATCGCTTGACAGCTCTAATAAATTCAAACAAACTTAGAAAAAAACAAAACAGCAAAATCAACACAACCACACACACACACACTTACACTTGACTATTAGTCGCTCTGGATTATAAGTCATTAAATGGTCTATTTTTGAACTTATTTCACAAATAAACCACACCAGACTTTAAAGGAAACACAACAGTGTGATGGGTGAGTGGTTTTGTTTGTTCGTTCACGGTGACTCTGGGCTTTGTTCAGTTGTGGCGTGTAGGGAGGGTGTGTCTGGGATCGCTGGATTGTCGGCGTGTTCGCAGTGACTCAGTTGTTCAGTCGTGTCTAGAAGTGGCACATTGCGCTCGCTTTTTCGGTTCGTTCCTCCGTTCCGTTCCTCGTCGGCGTGGAGTGATGAGTGTCTGTGGGTGTTTTTGTCTGTGCGGTCGCTGTCTGCTCCGTGTGTGTTTGTGTGTTCTGTGGGTGGTGCGGCTTTGTAGTTTACTGAAGTCGTGCTGGGACACCCGAGTGGATTTGATGAAAAACTAAGACAGAGTTGAAATATAGTCACAAAATACAACAAGATGAACAACAAAATTCAACAAAATGATCAAAAACGATTACACAAGTTCTGTAAATATTAAACCAGAGCATTTTTAAATGAAGAGACAGAAGTTAAGGGTTGTATGGAGGATTTTTTTTTGTTTTTTTTGTTTCAAATTGTCAATGATAGATTATAGAGATGCAGTAGCCTTGTAATTATGATGACCAAAAAAAAGAGAATAAAAATTCATCAACTCTGGACGTGGTGGGGCTAAACATTTGCCAATAGATAATGACACTGCCTCGTTATCTGTGAGCTGACAGGCTGTCAATCAATCTCCCTACGTTTCTAGTGTAACTGACTTGCCTGCGCCGCCAGTACGTGGTTTACGTACGACTGTCACGCAGTCCACAGACGCAAGACGCACAGACGCTGTTTACTCCACCAACGCAACAGTTCTTAGCGGCTTTTTTTGACCTATATCTTCCTCGCAGTTCGCACAAAGTTTGTTGCAATGGCAGACAAAGAATCCAGGAGCAGTTCGCCGCAAAAGAAAGTCCGTTTTTGAGGTCGCTGAAAGAAGAAGACAAGGGGAAAAGCAGCGAAGCCAAACTAAGGTGATTCTTGGAGATTCATTCCAGCGATGGCGCGACTGAAGCAGACGCAGGGTCTAAAGACTGACGCACTGGTCCACAAATTACTCCTGGACAGGAAACTTCTGCTTATTATGAAAACGTACTTTATTTCCAAGAGCTAGACAAACGTTTTTCAGGACACGAAAGCGATATCCTATGTCTGAAAACGTAATTTTCAAGGCAAAGAAAGAGTCCGCTTGCTGCTGCGTGTTGTAGCTAGTTCATTCGCACGGAATCTCCGCGCAACCTTCTCTGCACCCCTTTCCTGCTCCTCTCCTCTCCCCGCTGCCCGTTCCGCTCTTCCCCCTGCTCCTCACTTCTCCGGGCACGGAATCTCCGCGCACCCCCCCCCTCTCCTCTCTCCTCTCTCCTCTCTCCTCTCCCTGCTCCTCACTTCTCGTCCGCGAACGAAATGTCCGCACACCCGCTCCCCCCGCTCCTCACTTCTCCGTCTTGCCTAACCAACACTGTAGTTAGTTGTTTACAAGTCATGTGCAGCACCGGCTGTAAACAAACCTGTTTCTGGCGTAAGGAGGAGGAGGGAGGAGGCGTTTCTACGTAGGAGCTGTAGGGGAGGGGGGGTGGTTTCACGCATGCGCAACATTTGAAAAAGGACAAACAGTCGCTGGATTTCTCGTTCCTTGGAAAATCCTCTATACAACCTTTAACGCGTGAATCGATGAGCGAATATTGTTCCAATCAGAAGGAGCTTTATATTTAAATGAGTGTTTTCCTATTTGCTTTTTGAGTCTTGGGACAAAAGAAAATATCTGATCTGCGTGGCGTAAACTGTAGAAGGATCTGAATAGAATTAAATACTGTTCGAGATATTTAGTGCCTTCAACAACCTTCAACAACGCCGCACGTCGCAGCTCTTTAAAAGGCTTTAACACAACTCTTGCTGTGTTTTAAATGAGCGTTTTTATCTGCAGATTACTGACACAGAGCGAGGCTGTGAGAGCAGAGGGAAGGCGCAGTTATAGTGAGTTTAATGTGAGGCGAGAGTTTCCTGCACAGAGAGGAGCTGCTGTTGTGCAGAGTTGAACAATGGGGCTTTCTTTGGCTTTTCGCAAAGTTTTACAGCAAAGTTTCTGTTGGTCACAGAGCGCCGCGGTGCCCCATCCCGACTCAACAAACCATGGAGACGTCAAAGCGTCCCGGTGTGCGATGGCCTTTAGTCAAATTCTGGTCTCTGTGTCTCTGTCCACACAGACTCATGTCAGGGCGAAACGTCTCTAATGTTTCCTCTCTTTCTCAGAGGCTCCGAACGCTTCAAACCTGAAGATCGTACGGATGGACCGGACAGCAGGATGTGTGACCGGAGGAGAGGAGGTCTACCTGCTCTGTGACAAAGTACAGAAAGGTAAAATTACTACTACTACTACTACTACTACTACAGAGGTTGTACATCTACGTAGGGGTGGGCGATATATCGATATTTTAAATATATCGAGATAGTTTTTTTAAACTCGATATGAATTCTGACATATCGTATATATCGATATAATGCTTATATTCAATTCTGATTTCGCCACTTCACTTGTTTGTCTTCTCTCTCGTTGCCCCCGCCTCCCTGATTTTGTTCGCTCGTGTCTCCTTCACTCGTCACTATCGCCGTGAACACCGAAAGTTGGTGCCAGTGAAAAACTTCAAGCACCACGAACCTTTTCCACCATTTACAGACAAGAACATCAGCAGCACATCCTCATATTCCATCGAGTCGCGTCCTTTAGCCAGGAAGAAGCTAAACGAGCTGAGCTGCACGAGAAGCGCGCTGTTTATGCAAATGAGCCATGTGCTTAAGTTTCGTTTCTGTAAAATGTAAACGCACGTGCGCAAAACTGTATTAAACACATTATAATGTCAAAATGGCTGATGTGGCTCTAGAGTCGTTATGCTTTATTTATTGTAAAGTTTAGCAATGTAAAGTTTATTTATGCAGAATATTTAAATTAATAATCTGCTGCAGTGTAACTTGTACAACAGTGTTTGGAAACGTTTGATTTGATCTGCAGTGGATTGTGAGATTAAACCTCAGAGCTCCTCACTGCTGGATAATAACATGGATCTATTGAAATAAGGAACATCCTGAGCTTCTTCTGCTAAATGAGCTCATGGTTATGATTATGGTCTGGATAACAGAGTTAATGCAAAGATGAGCTTGTGTTGAGTTATTTTATTTATGAATGAAAAAAGAAAATATGTATTATTTCTTTTATTTTACAGTTAAATTATTATTTATGTAATTAGGGTTTTTTGTAATCTTAAATGTTCTTAAATGTTAAACTGTCGACCTCTTACACTTCAATTTTAAAAAAAAGGACCTTGTGGAATTTGGCAGATTTGTTTTTGCAGTTTATAGTTTTAGGGGGTTATTTTTTCTTGAACATATATCGAGATATATATCGTATATCGAGATATAGCAAAATATATCGAGATATATTTTTTGATCCATATTGCCCAGCCCTACGTCTACGTATCTTAAATATTTGGGGGACAGAGGATTTACTGTGTATCTCAATGTTTGTTCATTTTTGTGTTGTAGATGATATCCAAGTGCGCTTCTATGAGGAGGACAACTCTGGTGTGACCTGGCAGGCCCTGGGGGACTTCTCACCCACTGACGTACACAGACAGGTACTACTACAACTACTACTAGTACTACTTGATAAAATGGAGTAAGACTTGGATTTGAGGCCTGTGACTTGAGAAGCACTTTTAAATCTGAATTCTTTCTATTCTGAGCGTAATGATTCACTCTAAGACCTTATTTAAACATTTTAAAAGGAAAAAAATACATTTCTACAACTCTTACATACGCTATAGATACTCATATCTAAAAATACTATGATTTTATAAGTAGAATTTGCTTTAAAATTCATATAAATTGCGAAAATCTAAGCACTTTGGTTTAAAGACTTGAAATGACTTGAAGCTCAAAGCAGATGACTTGGACTTGACTTGGACTTATGGGCCAGTGACTTGAGATTTGCTTGGACTTGCCTGTATTTGACTTGGGACTCGGATTTGAGGTCAAAGACTTGAGACTTACTTGAAACTTGCAAAACAATGACTTGGTCCCACATCTGACTATTACTACTACTACTACTACTACTACTACTACTACTACTACTACTACTACTACTACTACTACTACTACTACTACTTAAATTTTTAACCTCGGTCTTCGTTCAGTCTCTCACTCTGTTAATGTTTGGCTGCTTTTGTTTTCTTGCAGTTTGCCATCGTGTTCAAAACTCCAAAGTACCGCGACCTGAACCTGCAGAAGCCCACGTCTGTGTTCGTCCAACTCAAGAGGAAGTCTGACAACGAGACCAGCGAACCCAAACCCTTCACCTACCACCCACAGATCATAGGTACAGACAAGACACGCACCCAGGTCATAGGACACGCACGCAGGTCATAGAACGCGCACGCAGGTCATAGAACATGCACCCAGGTCACAAGACACACCCCTTTCCCCTACCACCCACAGATCATAGGTACAGACAAGACATGCACCCAGGTCATAGGACACGCACTCAGGTCATAGGACACGCACTCAGGTCATAGGACACGCACCCAGGTCATAGAACACGCACCCAGGTCATATGACACGCACTCAGGTCATATGACTTGCACCCAGGTCATAGAACGCGCACCCAGGTCATAGAACATGCACCCAGGTCATAGGACGTGCACCCAGGTCATAGAACATGCACCCAGGTCATAGGACACGCCCACAGAGCACAGGACACGCTCCCAGGTCATAGGACATGCACCCAGGTCACAAGACACACCCCCTTCCCCTACCACCCACAGATCATAGGTACAGACAAAACATGCACCCAGGTCGTACGATACGCCTCCAGGTCACAGGACACACCCATCGAGCACAGGACACTCCATTCACCTACTACCCACAGATTATAGGTACGGACAAGACACACACCCAGGTCATAGGACATGCACCCAAGGCATGGAACATGCACTCAGGTCATAGGTACAGTCAAGACATGTTCCCAGGTCATAGGACATGCCTCCATATCATAGCACATGCCCCCAGGTCATAGGACACATCTCCAGGTCATAGGACATGCACCCAGGTCATATCACCAGACATGTCCCCCAGGTCATAAGACATGCCCACCGAGCACAGGACATGCCCCCTTTCACCTACCACCCACAGGTCATAGGTACAGACATGCCTCCAGGTCATAGGACATGCACCCAGGTCATAGGACATGCACCCAGGTCATAGGACACACCCAGGTCATAGGACGTGCACCCAGGTCATAGAACATGCACCCAGGTCATAGGACACGCCCACAGAGCACAGGACACGCTCCCAGGTCATAGGACATGCACCCAGGTCATAGGACACATCTCCAGGTCATAGGACATGCACCCAGGTCATAGGACACATCTCCAGGTCATAGCACATGCCCCCAGGTCATAGGACACATCTCCAGGTCATAGGACATGCACCCAGGTCATATCACCAGACATGT